GACACAGAACCAGTCCCACCAGTTCAAACAGCAGTTCATCTCAGCCAGCCACCAAAGCACTCCGGTCTCACTGAGAAGGGAGTGGTGGAGGGGCCTTCTGATGCAGGGAGAGGCAGGGTGGTGAGGGGTGACTGGGCATTTATGATTGCTCTGTCCCCTGGGGTTAAATTCCTGAATTTAGCTGACCCCTCACTTCCAGCAGGCCTCCCTGGAACCCCTACACACAGCCTGGGAAGGAAGTGAGGGGGACTGATCAGGCCCCATTCCTTCTGGTTGGGGCGGCAATGTCGCAGCTGCATTCACCCTTCCCTCTTCCTGAGCCCAGGGACCAGGAGCCACAGCTTCAGCCTCCAGGAGCATTCTGTTTCTCTCATATAGACAAATGGTGTGCTCAGCCAGGGGTTACTGTTGGGCACAATGTGCTCCCATGTGGGCTGGGTTCCTGGTAGCTGGGCCAGGGCAAGAGGGAATGTGGAGGGTGCACATTCATCTGGTTTCTCCTCTCCTAGCACTTATGTACTGTGCATGGAGGCCCCCTCTGGCCCTTCCCTCTTTCCCTGTTTACACAGGTCAAGGCTGTGCATGAACCTGCAAACTGGCTGCTCAGGACCCAGTGAACCCAGAGGCCCAGAATGCAGTGTTACATGTGTGAGGCCTGACACACCACAGCCAGGCGCTCCTCCCTATTTCTGCCCATACTTGTATCCCTCAGCCTACCTTGGAATGGTAGCTGAGGTCACAGTTCAGGTCCACCCCACCAAGGACTCCTGGCAGCCTGTAGTTCCCACGGTCCTGCGTCACACAGATCAAGGCATCGGGCCCCTGGCCAGGCTCCATGCAGGCTGCCTGTGGTGGAGCACCTGAACCTTCACTGGGTGTCGTGCAGCCGGTCCTGGACCCTCAGCACCAGACATTGGCTGATAAACAGCAGCAGTGGGCAGTGCCTCAGCCAATACCAGCTTCTGCCATCTTGAAGTCTGAGAAAGGTGCTATAGGCTGGGACTTAGGTAAGCACGTGCACAGCCTGTAACTAAAGGTGAGTGGGGTGACAACAATGGCACGGATACACAGTAGGTACTCAGAGCTAAGGGCTAGAATCCTTATTCCTTGCACCTACTTTGAGTCACGCTTCAGGTCTGGGGCAACTGTGACACCCTTCCTCACCCTGAAGTATTTTTTGTTCAAGCTATTTCTGTGTAATGTGGTCACTGTGGCTATAGAAAGGAATAGATGAAGGACCCAAAGTCAGGCCACAGTTTACAGTGCACAGCGTACAAGCGTACACACTGCAAAATGTCAGCCAGCAAAGGGAGCTGGAAAGGTGCTTCTTAGACCTCTGTGCATGCCCACACTTGGATCTGTCCCACAGGGCTATCTTTTTCTAGTTTACACAAAGGCTAGTAGTGGCCCTGTAGGTGTGACCTAAACTCCAGGTGGGATAGCAGAAAAGCCTCCTTGTGGAGGTGCTGTGTGTTCTTGGGCTTCAGTGAGTTCACGGGCAAGCTTGTCCATAGCCCTTCTGGGTGGAGGGATGGGTCTGTGCGGAATCCAGGAAATGGAAAGGTGCTTGAGGGAAGGTCAGCAAGGCTATGAACTGTAGGAAAGGCCAGGGCCCTTCCTGGGGGAAGGCAGAGGGAATGTGGGCTGCTGTTGCTGAGCTGTGAGGCAGTGAGCCCAGGTCTTGCTTGCATATGAGGCTCCTTGCCAGGACAGCAAACCTTCCCAGCAGTTGGAATAATTTCAGTGCCCACCTTACTACACTTTAGTCATCTGAAAAATAGCAATGAGAATCTACTATTGTGGCACATCAGGTTAAGTCACTGCCTACGGTGCCAATATACCATATTGATGCTAGTTAGGGACCTGGCTACTCCACTACCAATCCAGCTCTCTGCTAATGTGCCTGGGAAAGCAGCAAGATGGCCCAAGTACTTGGCCCCCTCCATCACACACAGAAGACCCAGAAGCAGCTCCTGGCTCTGCCTTGGCTGTTGTAGCCATTTTGGGGAATGAACCAGCAGATGGAAGACCTCTCTCCTCTGTGCAACTGTGCCTTCTACATAAATAAAAGGAAAAAAGACTAAGGTTAAATGAGATCAGGAACAGTGCTTGGGATAAGGGCTGTGGAAGTGGCAGGTGGGGAGACGGGGTAGGATTCAGCATATGAATCAGAGTTTGGGCTGCAGCACCTTTCCCTGGAGCTTAGGGCAGGGGGATGCTTAGGCCCTGTGTTCCCTGCAAGGGGCTGGTGACTTCAGGAACTGACTTCCCAACTGGTTTGGTTAATTGCAGGAACTCAGAAGAAAGTTCTATACCAGTAAGAGACCTAAATAATCCTTTTGGGCAATGGGGAGAGGGTGGGACAAGTGAACCTGGGCAGCCTTTTGCTTCTTCCGTAGAGAAGTGTACTGCACGAGGAGGGTTCCTACCTGGGCCCAAGCCCCCAGCCCAGCTTTCCACCTCTTATCATTTCCATCTGTGTGGGTGGCTGCAAACAACCTTGCCTGTTCATTGGATGTCTTCTACACAGATAGTTCTGCCCTGGGTTTGCTATGTGAAGGCCTGGGTCTCTCCGAGGCTCTTAGGTTTCTGTGAGAGAAGGAGCCACCCAGCTCCATCCTCTGCGTGCACATATACACCATGAGCCTGCAGCCCTCCAGAGATGGCTGTAGGGATGAGAGCAGAGCTGTCAAACAAAAAACTGATGCTTAGAGCCATACCGTGGGCTGGGGCTGCTGACTGGCTGCCCTCCTCCCCTAACCTGGGGATCCCGGCGTGAAGCTGTTCTCTGGTGTGTGGGACCTGATCCTAACCTGCTGCTAGGTACCAGGGGCCTATACTACGCAATCACTTCTTGGGGCCCAGTGCTTGGAGGACAACTGCCGGAGCGCACCACGGCAGTCCCCGCAGAGGCAGGTAAGTAAGGGCTAGAGCTCTCTCCTGGCACCCTGCCCTCTCTTGTGCCTGATGCTCAGGGGGAGACCCCCACCATCTGTCTTTCAGAAGCTGAGGAGTGTTCACTGTCTCAAAACCATGTACCCACCATGTCTGTACTCACCTGGCAAGCCCATATGGAATGGACTGGCATTTCATCATTTCATGTGAGTGCAGGTTAGTGTTGCCCTTATTCCACTTCCCAACCAGCTCCCTGCTAATGTGCCTGGGAGACCCAGATGAAGTTTTTGGTTCTAGCTGGTTCCTGGTGCAGCGTTTGGGGAGTTTACCAGGGGAGGCAAGATCTCTCTCTGTATCTGTCACTCTAACTCTTTTAGATAAATAAATATTTTTAGGGCAAAACACCTGTCCAAGGAGTCATCTCGTGGCCCAGGAGGTCAGGGAGGACACTTAGCATTCTGTGAAAGGGACAAACTGGCTGGGAGGGGGTGCCCACATTTTGGGGAAGTGTCACCCCCTGTGGCCCCAGATGCCACCTAGTAGGGGAAGAGGTTACACTTTTCAGATGAGGTCTGCCCTTGACATCCCCTACCCTACGGCCACTTTCCTGGAGACCCAGGCCCCACAGCTCCTGCCAAGCCTGGAAGTCAGCCAGGCTGCCTCACCCGGTGGAGAGGAAGCCACGAGATGGGAGCCAGTTTCACTTCTCCTAGAGAAGCCTGTGGCTGAAGGCCTTGGGTCGCCGGACTTAACTCCCTGCTCTCTGAACCCCAGGGGGGTCTCAGGCTGTAACGTGCAACCCTGGCTCCCCCCCCCCCATGTGTTTTCTCCACTTGCGGAGGGTCAACTGTGGGGCACAAACCCAGGCAGGAAATTTCAGTGACTGAGATGGGGTTGTCTTTTGGGGATCCTAGAAGCATTCTCTGGGTGCTTGCGAAGAAGAAATCTGGGGGGATGACCCTAATGGTCAGCTGGAGGGGGCCTATTCTGACAAGATGGTGTCTGCCAGCGTCTGCTGAGCACTCCCGGCGCTCAGGCACAGTTCCCAGCTCTTGACTTGGTGGGGGGCAGTCTCGGGAACCACCATACAGGAGCCTCGGAGCCCGCGCAGTAAGTAGGATCGGTTTTCTCATCTAGAACCCCTGTTTGTTTGCTGCCGACGATCTATTGGCTGCAGTCCTGAAAGATACTGAGGGAAGGGCGCGGTTTGGGGGCAGCTCCAAAGGGCATGGAGTAAGGGGTCTTCGATCCCGCGGGCAGCCGAACTGGGGGCTCAGCCAAACCCTCGCTCCCGATCCTTGCAGCTTCTTAACTCCGCCGAACCCGGAGGGTAAGGGACAGCGGATCTCTCCCTTATCCTCCGCCCCCGGCCCCCGCGCAAGGTGCATCTCCAAGCTCAGGTGCCCCTCACAAAAGGTGGGGTAACGTCTCTTTTTTTGGCAAAGTTTCATGGTAGGGTAGGTAGAGTAGGGTTCATAAGGCGCAGAGCCCTAATCGACGTCGTCTGGGAGCGGGGAACTGGAGGCGCAGCGGCTGCGGCTCCAGCCTCACGACCTGCGGCGTCCAAGTGGCCAGAGCTGCGCTGGGAGGGAGGCGGCGGGAGGAGGGAAGTGGTGGGGGGGTGGGAGGAGGCGGCCGCGGCGAGTCCGGTCCGGGTTTTGCCGGCAGCCCCCGGGCAGCGTTCAGAGCTGCCCGGGCGGGCGCGCAGCGGCGGCAGAGGCGGCGGAGCCTGAGCGGGGATGTAGAGGCGGCGGCACAGGCGGCGGCGAGAACAGGCGCCCAAGCCGAGCGAGAAGAGCGGCCGAGCCTCGCCCCCGAAGCCGGCCCGGCGTCCTAGCCCAGCCCAGCCCGCGCCCAGCCATGCGCGCCGCCTGCTGAGTCGGGCGCCGCACGCTGAGCCCTCCGCCCGCCGCGCCGCGCTCCGCTCGGGGGTGATTAGTTGCTTTTTGTTGTTTTTTAATTTGGGCCGCGGGGAGGGGGAGGAGGGGCAGGTGCTGCAGGCTCTCCCCCCCTCCCCGCCTCGGGCCAGCCGCGGCGGCGCGACTCCGGCTCCGGACCCGGGCACGGCGGGCGGCTGGAGCGGAGCGCATCGCGGCGTTGCCCAGAGCGGAGCGCAGCTCCCCACCCCGCCCCTCCCCCTCGGCCTCGCGGCGACGGCGGCGGTGGCAACTCGGACGACTCGGAGAGCCGGTAGGTGTCGGGCCACAGCCCTCCCCCGACCCCCCCACCCGGAGGCCGGCCCCCTCCCCTTCCCCGCCTCCCTCCCTCTCCTCCCCCGGGGCTCGGTGCGCGGCCGGGGCCGGAGTTCGCTTCAAGTCGGCGGAAAGTTTGGCGGCGCGGCTTCCCCCGAAGTTCAGGTGCGGAGAGCCGGGGACGGGGAAGGAAGGGTCGGCGTTTGAGAGGGGCGGGGGACGCCCGCGGCTGGAGCCACGGAGCCCCGAAGCTTGGGAGACCTGGCACCGGTGAACGCTCTGTGGCCGCTGCTACACCCAAGCCTCCCCAAGCCGCAGTATTCTCGGTCGCAGATCACTGAGTTCAGACAAAAAAGAGGGTTTTTAGGGTCGCGGACGGCGCGTTGGACGCTTTGGAGTGGGGCCGGGGCCCTCCCAGTGGGGTCCCGCCCCCTCCCCAGTGACTCCAGCTCGCGGGCGCTTGGGGCGGCGGGCGCCTGGGATCTCACCTCTCGGTGTGGGGCGGGCACTCCGCCTGCGGGGGCGGATTGCGTGGAGATCTTGGGCGCTCATTCCCCGCCAGGGACCCCCCTCGTAGCCCAGTGTTTGCGGGTGGGGGAGTGGCGGTAGTGACTGCTCCGTGCGCCCTGCAACACGCGTGGCTGAGCCTCCTTCACCACTTGGGAGAGGCCACTTCTGCATTTCCCCTCCGGCTGCGCCCCCGCTGCCCGCAGGGTGCCTGGCGGGCTGATCAAGTTTGACCCCCCCCCTCCAAGTAGCACCCCCAAGGTCCTGGTGTCCTGTGGCCGCTAACGCCCTCCCAAGCTCCGGGGCTGCTGAATCCCAAGCTCCGCGTGCGCCAGGCGGCGGGCACGGCCAGGGAGGCTGATGGTGGGGCGGAGGGTGTGGGGGTGCTCCAGCTGCTAACTGGGCGAAGAAGGGGGCAGTGCGGGTGACTCTGGCCCGCGCTTGTTGGCCCACGAAGTTGGGTTTGAGCCCCCTCCCCGCCTCTTCCCCGGAGCTAGGGGCTGAGCTGCCGCGAGAGGAATGTGTTAATTTTCTGACTGAGGGAAGTTGTCCTCGCCCGGAACGGGCCGTTTTCCGGAGGGGGGGTGCGCCCGGCTTTGTTTATTTGTAGGCTCGACAGAAAGTGAGTGACCCCAGTTTTTAAACTGGGGGCCACCTCCGGGACCTGTCAGAAGAGAGTTGAAGCACCCAATGAGAGAACAAGATCTTTTTCCTCCTTCACCCCAACCTCTGGGGGATCGGAAGGGATACCTGGAGGCACCCGTGCGCGCGTATCGGGGTGGGGTTCTCGGCGATTCTCCGCAGGCTAGGAGACCGCACCCTGTTTTGTCACCCGCAGCGCCTGGACCCCTGGGTGGTCCCGTCCCTTCTTCAGAGAGGGGTGCGGGCCGGCCAGCCTTCTGAGGGCGCCTTGCTCTGCGCCTCCGGCGCTGCCTGGAGCCCAGGGGTCTGTGGTCCAACGTCCCTCCCCGCCCCACCCGCTCCCGCGCTTGCTCAGGAAGCGCTGGGGAGGGGGTGAGTGGGATCGCTTGGGCCCTCGCCCCCGCTGGAGCCGCCCCAGGGCCGCAGGCAAACAGAGTCCCTTTCAAGTTTTCCGCTGGGGCCGCCTGGCGGGGGCCGCGAACGCCGAGGCTGCGGACTTGTTTGGAGCGCGATTTGAACACCCGGCGCCACCTCAGCTGCCCCGGCCCGCGGGGGCGGGAGGAGCGAGGGGGAGAGCGTCCGTTCATGCAATTGGGAGTATTTAAATGAAGACGTGGGAAGGAGGGGTGGCTGGCCTAAGCTTGACCTGATACCTCTTCTCCCAAACCCCCCCCCCCCCCGCCATACCCCATTGCCACTGGTAACCCAGGAACTGGGACGCGAAGCCCCCATGCAAAAACCCTTTTTTGAGAGCCTTGCCGGGCAGGCTCGGGCCAGCGCTACCTACCCGTGACTGTGGAGTGTTGATTTAGCAGTTTCCCTAGATGAGAGTCAAGCTGGAGCTGGGAGGGGGGTGGCCCGCTCTGCAGCTGTCACCCCCCTCCCAGAGCGGAAATTGTCATCTCTCCTTGGGGGGGGAGGAGAGGAGGTGATGGGTTGAGTTTTGCTCTTTAAAGAGATGGGAAGAGCAGAAGGAGCTTGGCCTCCGAGTTCCCAGTTAAGAGTCCCCCGTCATGATGGAGGGGCCCTCTCGTGGCTGATGCTCATTGCCACCTCCCTTCTCTTGGGTGGACCCAGAGGCTGCTCCTCTAACGCAGACCCTTGGCTGCCTGGCTGTCGCCTGGTTCCTTATTTATGTGTGTGTTTGGGCCAGGCTGTTTCCCCCCCAACCCTGCTCAGCAGGTGACCCTGGCCTGGGCCTCCTATCTCTCCTGCGACAGAGCCTGTTGACTTACCCGAGGGCTAGCGGCCTCGTCTTTATCACGTGAGGCCTGGAATGTCCACTTGGCTGGGCTGGGCTGGGCTGGGCTGGGTGGGGGAAGGGGCGGCAAAGGTCCTGCATCCAGGGCTGAAGCTGTTCTGGCCTCAGTTCCCAGTGGTTCCCCCAAGACCCTGCGCTCTTGTTGCCTTTTCCCCACCTCCTTACTTGCCTTGTGCCCCTTTGGGCAAAGAGTAAAACTGAGGGTTCCCCCACACTCCACCAGGAGTGTAGTGGTAAGATTGAATCTGGGTTTAAAAAAAAAAAAAAAAGAAAACTAAGTGGAAATTCAGTACTCCACCTTTGTTTTAGGACCCCGCCTAGCTCTTCACGGAGGGGTGGAGTAGAGATGGGCTACAGTCAGTTTGCTTGTCAGCCCTGCTGTCCTGGAGCCGCCTCTGGTCAAGGAGGAGGCAACGGCTCACTCTGCACCACTGAGGGCCAGCTGAGTACCTGCTCTGCAGTGCCGCCCGCCAAGCTGCCCCAGAGGCAGGTCAAGGGTGGAAGCTCCGCCCCCTTCCCCACCCCCTGGGACTCTCCTTGGTTACCCTCGCCACCACCTGGTCCTGTCCTAGCCTGGTGTGGGGTTGTGTGTTGTGTGTGTGAAGTGTCCTTGACTAAGTGTATTAATAGTTAAACTCTCATAGCTGAAGCTCACCAGACCACAAAAAACCTTCCCCGTTACTCACGCGCTACTGCCCAACAAGAATATCCCACTAAAGTTTTTTTCTGCTTTCTCTTTACTTCCCCTCACCCTGTCTGCCTTCCTCCACGTGCCCCCGCCCCCAAGCGTTGAGCCCACCCTCCCAGGCTGCCAGCACTTAGAAAAGACTGGCCCTCAAGGACCCAGCCATCTCCCACCTTCCACCTGCTCCTAAGCCAGAGGCAGCGCCAGCTGACAGGAGGCTTTGTGGACGCTGGTCCCCCTGGGTCTGAGGTGTGGGGAGCTGGGGGAGGGGGTGCTCGTGACAGGGGTGTCTACATCGCGGGTGCAGGTATGAGGGGGTAGGAGCTGGAGCCTGTGTGGCTTTGTGAGCAGGGACATGTGGGGGAAGTTTATGTTCATGGTCTGCATGTGTAGTAGTACAGGATTCTCTTCATGGTGCTGTGTGTGAGAACTGTGACAATGTGACAAGGCTGGGTAGGGTGGTCAGTGTGGGGGGGTGGCCCTCCCTCCCTTCCTCCCCCACCTCCTGCCTGGTAGTCACCGGGCAGCCTCCCGTCTGTCTGCCTGCTGGGAGTTTTGGAAGCCGTGGAGGGAGACAGGCTGGGGCCGGGGTGACAGCGCGTATCCACAGCGATGGCAGCCTGTGATTACAGGAATAAAAGGATTTTAAGGTCATGGTGTGTGCGTGTGTGTGTGTGTGTGTGTCTGTGTGTCCCTTTGGAGCCAGTGGCAGCAAAGGGCCAGTGCTATGTGTCTGCAGGTGGGCATGCTACCCCTATGCTGGTGAACATGGATGTTTGGGGCTTACCTGAGAACATATACACATGTGTGTGTATGCTTAGAGGGCCCGTGAGGGTCTTCTGGCTGGCTTTTCCCTGAGGGAGAATTCCCAGGAAAACTTCCTGCTTTTGGATGTCACATGGGGGTTGAAATCCTGTAGTTTTCTCTGTATGCTGAGCAAGGACATGTGACCCCAACTGTACCCTGGGCTACCACCCATCCTCCCCCCACCCCTCCCAGTCATGTTGGGTATTTCTGGCCTGAAAGATTGGCTGGGCCCAGTCACCTGGGCCAGGCCACATCTCGGGGTGTCAGTGCCCCTGGCCCTGCTCCAACCCCTGTAATTGCATTCTGCCGCCTAATCCCCCGCCAGCTCAATTAGATCGCAAATTCTTCTTCATTTCCTGCCTCTGATGCTGGCCTCCCTCTGGGCTTGCAGGGACTGAGAGGGAAGGAGGAGACCCTGACCCCCCAACCCCCGCCCAGACCTGACCAGCACCGAGATGGATTGGGAGTGATTAGTTAGCTTGGTACCCAGGCCCTTTCTGGATCAGCTTCAGTACCCTTATGCTGAGGGTGGTGACTTGTGTTAATCTGGTACAGAGTGGGTGTCTCCAAGTGCCCGAGCACCTTGGCCAAGCCCTCACTTGGGGCTGCAGGGGCCCTGCCTGCCTCCTACTCCCAGAACAGTTGCCAGACACCCACTCAGAATAACCTTGCTGCTGACCTCTTGGTGGTAGCCTTTCTGGGAGCCGCCTGGACGTCTGTACTCCCTTTCCTCCTGGGTCCTTCTTATTGCTATCCCCCTCCTCCCAGACAAATGTGTCACTGCCTAGCTGGATGGGTGACATGTGGGCAAGCTGTGCTCTCTCAGTTCATCTCAGTTTTCCTTAGCTCTGCAATGGGACAATAAGAGCGCCCGCTGATAGTTCAACAAGATAGTTCTTAGACCAGCAAGGGGAGGGGACAGTTGAGGGCCCAGCCTGGGGGGCTGTCCTAGTTGATGTTCAGTGTAGGTGGGCTTGTATCTCCCAGGAAACAGGGAGACCCAACGCAGGGCCCAGAGTTAGTTTGTACGTCTGCATTCTACCGTGAGCAGATGTGTGACCTTGGACTTGTCTCTCTGCCTCTAGTGTGGGTTTGG